GCAGAAGTCAATATAACAAGTTTGGTGCTGTTATAGGTATAGAACCACTAATTCAGGCCCGGTCGGAAAGAACATACAAGAAAGTAGTACATATTTTAAACAAAATAGTTCCTACGCATAGCTGTATCTTTGTCAATAGTTTGAATATTTGGGTAGTTTTAGTATCAAATGAAAGCTTTGGGACTTGGGATCACTGTAGAACCCTAGTTGAAAGTTTTATTTGAATAATAAAGAAGTATATGAAATTTTGATAGGAGGGCTCATTTGGCCTGTTGTTCAGATCAGAAGTTCCTGTTTCTGTACTATCAAACTTCCGGGAACCAGTACGCTCTAATATGCAATTAAAGGTATGTTGATTTTTTCAGCACAAGTCAGCATAAGGTACAGTTTTGACATGAAATAACTGCCACTTAATTTGAACTTAAGACAAAGTAGCCATTTATGCTTGAAATTGCAGAATTTAACATAGAAAGCAATGGGGCTATGAATTAGTGGTTTTATACCTATTACTGACAGGCATGTTAAATTCTATTTTTAGAAATCATACCCTTTACAGTGAAAATTGGTCACATTTGTTGTCAGAAATCATGTTACATTATTTTTTGTATGTAACAATTATGTTAGTGTCAAATTACAGCCCTCAAATTGCTACAATAAGGTATTTTAGCCTTTTTTGGTCATTTAGCATGCACACAGTTAAGATTTTACCTGAAATTTAAATTTTTGGATTATCTAACACTGAAACCAATGAAACTTGTATATTATGACTAGTTTATAGTATAAATATCGTTTTTGGTCAAATTATCTAGTGAGTGTTCATGTTTTATTGTGTTTCTTGGTGAGTTATTTATTTCAAGGAAAATTGGTGTATACTTATATAGGAATTCCAAAATCTCACTTGAAATGCATTTTATAATCATTTTAGCAAGTTGTCTATCTTGGAGATACATGAATTGCTCTTGTTGATCCATGTTTATACATAAAAGTATGTTTTTTTTACCAAATCACTATCCTTTTCCAACATGTAGAAAAAAGGGGGGATAAAATTATCAATTATATTTTATGTTTGGACCACTGTATTTATATTCAAGGAAGGATCACTGATAAAAATAAGACATATAGGTAAGAACACTGTTATTTGAGTAGATATTAACAAATCAGAACTGGTAAAAATTGAAAAAGTGTCATATCTGTCACTATTAGTATCCATATATAGTTTTCTTTGTTTAACGCATATGTTACTACCAGTCCAATTTGAGCTTGAATTCAGTGATATATTGTTTTGACAAAAGCTTTATGTGTTTTTCTATGCTAGAAATAGATCATAGAAGGAAATTAAGTCAAGCAGAAGTCAATATAACAAGTTTGGTGCTGTTATAGAAGACATTTGTATGTATTGTTCATAGGGTCCTATGTTAAATGAAGTCCCCCACTGGCGGCCATTTTTGATGATGGATCAGCTTCAAAGTAACAACACTTGGTCAGCAACTCATAAGGAACATTCATGCCATGTTTGGTTTCATTCCATTCAGTGGTTCTCTAAAAGAAGACATTTGTATGTATTGTCCATAGGGTCCTCTGTTAAACGAATTCCCCGGCTGGGGGCCATCTTGGATGATGGATTGGTTTCAAAGTAACAACACTTGGTCAGCACCTCATAAGGAACATTCATGCCATGTTTGGTTTCATTCCATTCAGTGGTTCTCTAGAAGAAGTTCAAAAATATAAAAATTTAACAACGACGACGATGGACAACGACAGAAGACAACGGATGCCAAGTGATGAGAAAAGCTCACTTGGCCCTTCAGCCCAGGTGAGCTAAAAATGAGTAAGTCCAAATACCTGGCATTTTGAGAATATTTGAAAATAAACTGTTGACACAGATATCACCTTTAGACATAAAATTCAGAAAGAGACAATTTGATGGACAGCAACATTGCTTATTAATTAGTCACTGGACAATGATCAGGGCCTGAAAATGGTCGACAAACTGAGATTTTCATATGGAAAATATGGCTGTTTATTGTAAGTTATGTAAGTAGTTCCTATCAATATATAACTTAAGAAGAACAGGAGTGTACACGCTGAAATTTCTCGCCTTCTTTACTAACCATTGATTTTATGTTGAAAGTCCTCAGACATGTACACCTTACAATCAATGTATGCATTAAATAAAGTTGACCTATTGCTTATAGTATCTAAAAAACAAACTTAACCATGAAAACTTAACATTGACCAATGAACCATGAAAATGAGGTCAAGGTCAGATGATACCTGCCAGACAGACATATACACCTTACAATCATTCCATACACCAAATATAGTAGACCTATTGCATACAGTATAGGAAAAACAGACCAAAACACAAAAACTTAACTATAACCACTGAACCATGAAAATGAGGTCAAGGTCAGATGACACCTGCCAGTTGGTCATGTACACCTTACAGTCCTTCCATACACCGAATATACTAGACCTATTGCTTATAGTATCTGAGATATGGACTTGACCACCAAAACTTAACCTTGTTCACTGATCCATGAAATGAGGTCGAGGTCAAGTGAAAACTGTCTGACGGCAATGAGGACCTTGCAAAGTACGCATATACCAAATATAGTTATCCAACTACTTATAATAAGAGAGAATTTAACATTACAAAAAAAGTTAACTTTTTTTTCAAGTAGTCACTGAACCATGAAAATGAGGTCAAGGACATTGGACATGTGACTGACGGAAACTTCGTAACATGAGGCATCCATATACAAAGTATGAAGCATCCAGGTCTTCCACCTTCTAAAATATAAAGCTTTTAAGAAGTTAGCTAACGCCGCCGCCGCAGCCACCGCCACCGCCGGATCACTACCCCTATGTCGAGCTTTCTGCGACAAAGGTCGCAGGCTCGACAAAAACTTAACACTGAGAAATGAACTGTGAAAATGAGGTCAAGGTAAAATAAAACCTGCGAGACTGACATGTACATCATAAAATATTTCCATACACCAAATATAGTTGACCTATTGCATATAGTATTAGAAAAAAAGACCAAAACTCAAAAACTTAACTTTGACCACTGAACCATGAAAATGAGGTCAAGGTCAGATGACACCTACCAGTTGGACATGTTTACCTTACAATCATTCCATATACTAAATATAGAAGACCTACTGCTTATAGTATCTGATATATGGACTTGACCACGAAAACTTAACCTTGTTCACTGATCCATGAAATGAGGTTGAGGTCGAATGAAAATTGTCTGACGGGAATGAGGACCTTGCAAGGTACGCACATACTTAATATAGTTATCCTATTACTCATAATAAGAAAGAAATAAACATTACAAAAAATGTTGACTTTTTTTTCAAGTAGTCACTGAACCATGAAAATGAGGTCAAGGACAATCGACATATGACAGACGGAAACTTCATATCATTAGGCATCTATATACAAAGTATGAAGCATCCAGGTCTTCTAGCTTCTAAAATATAAAGCTTTTAAGAAGTTAGCTAACGCCGCCGCCGGATCACTATCCCTATGTTGAGCTTTCTGCGACAAAAGTCGCAGGCTCAACAAAAACTTAACATTAAAACTTGCTAATTAGTTCAAAGTCACTGGACCATGTCCTAGGGGTCAGGGCCTCAAAATAGTCTTCAAACTAATATGTACTTATAATAATGCAACTTTATACAAAATATCATTGATCTATCACAAGTAGTTCTTATCAACCTGACTTAAGCAGAAAAACTTATCATTGAAAATTTCTAACTAATTAAAAGTCACTGGACCAAGACCTAGGGGCAGGGCCTCAAAATAATCATCAAACTGATATGAACTGATAGTAATGCAACTTCATACAAAATATCAACGATCTATCACAAGTAGATCCTATCAAACTAACTAAAGCAGAAAAAATTACTTGAAAATTGCTATTAATTTAAAGTCATGTGATCATGGCCTAGGGGGCAGGGCCTCAAAATATTCATCAAACTGATATGTACTGATAGTAAAATATCATTGATCTATCACAAGTAGATCCTATCAAACTAACATAAGCAGAAACCTTAACATTGAAAATTGCTAATTAATTCATATTCACTGGACTATATAGGAGGCAGGGCTTCAAAATAGTTGGAAAACTGATATGTACTTTATATTAAATATCAATGATCTATCACATGTAAATCCTAACAAAAAACTTAAGCAGAAAACTTAACAATTGTTGTCGCCGTAGCCGGAAAAGCAATCCCTATGTCTCACTTTCCACAACTTTCGTCTCAGGGCAGGCCAGACAAAAATCAAAATCCTGTGGACATGCACACCTCTATTATGTGTAAAAATATCCTACAAAATATTAAAGCTTTGGTTTAAAACTGTAGGCAGAGATAGCCAGATAAACCATAATCTCTTTATGTAGCTAGTACCAAAAAACGACTTAAGTCCAAATACCTGCAATTTTGAGAATAATTGAAAAAATCTAAATCCTGTGGACATGCACACCTCTATCATGTGTAGAAACATTCTACAAAATATTAAACCTGTAGCGCAAAATCTATAGGAAGAGATAGCCAGACAAACCATGCATCTATATCCAGACGAATGGACAGACGGGTAAATTAATATGCCCCTCGACATTTTGTTGCAGGGGCATACAAATATGGAATAACTGTGCCACATATCCATATGACCCATCCCCAGTCAGGATGTCTTAATGTATTTCTAGTTATATAGAGATTAGTGTGGATGGAAGATCATGGGTTATTTCTGTCGAATTTACAAATGTTTTTATGGTCTCTATTATTAAGAGCTGTGTATATATTGTATGATATATTGACACCTGTCTATTATTGAACACTGTATGTAGCTCTCTATATTTTTTTTTTTTATATTTTTTTCATTACGTTACTGTCTAATAGATGTCGACCCCACATCTCCATCTATTCATAAAAATTCATTTTATTATTTCTTAGGGCTAACATTCTTATTCATCATGTTCATTGTACCTCCAATTTTTAATTCTGTTTCTTCAACTGCTTTGCCAAGGTCATCATCTGTAAACACGAGCTTGTTCAACAGCAAATACAAGATAAAGAGCGCAAAGGATAAAATTGCATATAAACCAAATGTCCATCTTATGCCAATCTGTGAGTACAACTGTCCAGTCACCAGACTACCAACCCCTTTACCTAAAATAAATAAAAAATTTGTATTTATTTTACTTATTAAGACAGAACCATGTATGACACAACTGGTAGTTTTTCAATTTCCATTTCCCGCAATGGAAAATTGACCATGGGATCAATTTTCCATATGACAACTGTACCAATTTTTCTTCGTCTGATGTGCATTTTGACAATAAATGACTCTTCATTGATGCACGAGGCCAAAATACTTGAAAATCCAAAACTTATTATATAGTTTAAGAGCTTATTTATAAACCATAAAGGACAAAAAATACAGCTAAAGCTGGGCAAGGAATCAGAGCTATGCATGAGGGAGATATATTCCTTAATACAAAATGATTTCTCGAAATTTTGTAACAACAAATTTTAACAAGCATTCTGAGAGTATTGCATGGCAATACATAGTCCCCTCCCGGGTAAAAATTTTTTATACTGGAACAAAATGCTAACTTATTCTATAACTTGTCATGATGTAAACAAAAAGAAAATATCAAGTCAACATCTTCAAGCATGACTAAAAACAGTGTGGGAATCTGAATATATGAGTGAATTTTTTCAAGTCCAAGGACCATAACTCTGCACAAAATTATCAGACCCAAACAAAAATTTGAACTTGATCTGTAACTTCTCATGATAAAACTAGTAAGCACTATATCAATTGTCAATCAATATCTTCAAGCATGATGAAAAAAAGTGTGGAAAACCTATATCGCTCTAACATTAGATATGATTAACAGTTCTCTAAAATTAGATATGATGTAATACAACGTATTTCTATTTTCAAATTACAATCAAATATAATTAATAGTTCCAAATATTTTTTCTTTCATTTGTCACAAACTAATATAGTTTGTAACATATCTATAAAATGTCAACAACTTTTATCTACACAATGTAATGTAATGAAATATATACCTTAATAAAAAAAGACTTCACTTAATAACAAAAAAATATTTATATATACATGTAGCATTCAGAAAATTAGTATACAAAATAACATATAAACCTGCCACAAAATTCCTCAAACAATTTACCAAAGAATGTTTTTTTAAAAAATGAGTTATCTCCCTTTGTAAAGATTATATGGTTTAACATAGTACCCTAACATTAGTTATGGAGTTAATTTTTTTATGGATCATAACTCTGGACTAAATCATCAGACCGGAACAAAATTCGAACTTGATCTATGACTTGTCATGATAAAACTATATACCAAATATCAAATCAATATCTTCAAGAACGAAGAAAAAAAGTGTGGAAAGCTGAGTTGCCGGACTGACGGATGGACAGACGGACTAACAGACGGACAGAGTGCAAACCTAAAGTCCCCTTCAACTTCGTCGGTAGGGGACTAATAACACAATATCAGTAGTTTCATGCCAGTAGCCATGTACTGGCTACTGGGCTGATGATACCCTCTGGGACTAACAGCAATACTTTAACATGTAAACCATGCAAAACATCCAAAGTCAAGTCGATGAACCATGACTGAGGGTGCAGGTCCAAACAACTTCTGTAGAAATGGGAAATTTTATTGCTCATGAGACTGCATACTAAATATCATAAGTGGTTCCCTTAAAATAATGACCTAAACACAAATTTTTAACAGTATAAACTATGCAAAGTCAATAAACTATGATGAGGACGTGGGGCTATATATCTCCATGGAAATGAGACATTCAAATAATTATACAACGTCATACATAATATCATCGAGTTCCTATTAGTGAGTCCCCTTCAACTGACTAAATCACAAACTTGAACATGTAAACTATCAAAAGTTTCAAGGTCAATAGACCATGACTGAAGGGGTGGGGCCAGATAATGTCCATGGAAATGAGATGTGCTCATGGTCATACAATTGTACACAATACATTTATATCCTTGACCTACCACTAGTAGTTCCCCTTAAACTGACTTTATCACCAACTTTAACATGTAAACTAAGCAAAAGTCTAAAAACCAATAAACTATGACGGAGAGGGTGGGGCCAAATAATCTCCATGGTAATGAGATGTACCAATACTAATACAACTGCATATAAAATATCAATGACTTCACACTAGTGGTTCCCCTTTAACTGACCAAGTCACAAATTAATAAGTATGTATACCTTCTTACTGCTGTCAACAGAAACAGCAAGTCTAATTCAAGCTTTTTCACCTTTGTCAAATTGTGACAAAACTCAATCTATGTGGTGAATTTAAACAGTGAATGCTGGTGAAAAAGCTCTCTGTATATATATTCTATTAGTGACAATATTTGTCATATGATGGGTATACATAATAAATCAAGAGTGCTATCTGTAACCTTTAATCACTGGAAATGCCCCCTATTTCCCAGTGAATCACACAGCACCAGCAATAGTGCTTTTAAACTGAAAACCCTTGTGCGTACTGTACGCTATACAGTTAATATTTCAGCAATCAAAAAATTCAAAGGAATCCTGTTTTTGTACATTATGTATATAGCTCAAAATGCAGTTATCAAAAGTTCTATCTAAATCATGTTTTAACTGATTTTCAGACTTGCTAATCAATCAAACTTTGTGACTGTCATTATATATTATTTGAAAATTCAAGGGTTAGGTGCCAGCAAACATTTTCTACCCTGCCACTTTATGTATGTAATTCAGCATGTTCAGTGGTTGTCATTTGTTGCTGTATTTTATATTTGTTTTTCAATTATTGTTTGGTACATAATTCAGGCCATTAGTTTCCTTTTTTGAATTGTTCTACATTTGTCACTTCGGGCCTTTAATAGTTTGCTATGCCATATGGATTTTGCTCATTGTTGAAGGCTGTAAAATGACCTATAGTTGCTTACTTCTAAGTTATTTGATCTCTAGTGGAGAGTTGTTTCAATGGCTATCATACCACATCTTCTTATTTTTATATATGGTAGTCCATGTGTAGTTATTTTTAGACTATTATGTCTAATATCATTGTTACTTTAACATGTTTAACAATTATCAGCACTCACCATGTAAAAATTGTTAAAATCAACTGCAATGATTAGCTAATATAGAAAGACATACAAATGTATCCGGGATACATGTGTGATACTGATTTCAGAATACATGACTCAAGTTTCTGAAATAACATTTAAACAAGAAATTATTTGAATCTGGAATATTTTGGAATTCTGGAAACTTGATAAGAAATGTATTATGAAAACTAAACCAACTAAATACGGTTAGCCAAGCACACATAGGTTCAAATTACTTTCACTGATATTTCAGTATGAACAAACTAACCCCCTTTGCCATGCCTTCATGGGTATATATTATGTTAATATATATATAGTATAACCCTCCTTAATTGGGGTAGTTTTCATCATATATTTCTTATCAATTTTCTAGAGTTCAAAATTGTTCCAGATTCAAATAATTCCTTGCTTTTATCGCATTCACCTATACCTGAAGTTTGAAAAACCAAATGCATAAACATTTGATATATCTTATAAAAACAACCTGAAGTTTGAAAAACCAAATGCATAAACATTTGATATATCTTATAAAAACATCCATATCATTTTGACCTCAATTAGTTTTAGGTGATATAAATTTGCTTTAAAGATTGTGTAATAATGGTAACTGTTCCCTCTTTTTTCAAAATTTTTAATAAAATTTTGTGATTTATCCTCAATTATATATACATATTTGCCAGATTTTAATCAATATGAAAATCAACGAAATTGTAATCTGCAGAAATACTTACCAAATCCAAAATGGACTCCACTCAGCAGTCCTTGGATTGTTCCTGACATCCCTACAGGTGTTATTATACTGCCATATGATGTTGCTGCAGCCCACATGATTCCAAATGTAATACCATGTAACAGTTCTATTGGTAATACCCACCATGCATTTTCAAGGATTGAATACATTGTAAACCTTAGGGCATATGCAAGGAACGCAGCATATAAACATGTAACATGTCCAAATTTTTTAATAATAGAACCTGCAAAGTACAATATCGGTGTTTCTGCTATACAAGCAAACAATAAACATAACCCCGGAATAATCTTCAGTTTGTTTTCAAGTTCATCTTCTAAAAACCAGTAGAGAAAGGCCTCTATTGCACCTGTTAATGATCCAAAGTAAAACACAACTAGAAGAAACACTAAAGTTTTAGGTTCACGTAGCAGAGTTATTGTTCCTTTTAACATTTGCCCACACATAAGGGTGTCTGAAATTCTCATAATACATGAAACAATAGCTGTTGCCAAGTTTAAGGCAAAAAACAAACAAAAAGCTATACCGAAATTATTCATGTTGGTTTTTGAACTTAGTATATCCATGCTTAAAGCTGAAACAATAGCAAACACAGCAAACCCAACTGTTCCCCATAATCGCTGTTTACCCCACTTGTGCCTATTTTCTTCTCCAAGTATGTCATATAATATGGCATCTCCCAAACTCATAATAGGAGCAAAAAATATATTTCCTAATAAAAACAATATAAAAAAGAACCAAAATGATGTTTGGCTGAGATTCTCTGCTACTATACGAGTACATGTGTCAACATGGCTACATTGAAGATCACACACAAGGAATGCATCATCACTGCACAACATCTGCCAGTACTCTTGACCTTTGAACACTATATCCTTTAAGTCAAAAATCCTACAAATTTGGTCATCTGTTTTAATTTTATTGGATATAACTTCTTTGCTTAACAAATATCCAAGATCTGGAATTTGAAAACTGACATGAGATTCCCATTTTCCAACATTTGAATTCACATTGTAGCAATCAGCAATATTGTATGTGCCTGTTGCATTAGTGAAACACACTTTTTGAGGCAATTCTGGTGTTACCTTATAAGTACATTTCAAACTGCATGAAAGTTTAGACTTTGTAGCATCATTTTGTTCATTTGGCATGGTACTGATAATATATGGCACATTATTACTGCTGCTGGAGTTCACAACCTTTGTGACAAAGGATTCCTCACTAGCAATCTCTTTGGCTTTAGTAATATAATTATGGAATGACATGGGGCATTCTAGCATATTTATACTCTGGTTGACATGGTAACAATCTCGAATAAACGAATCTCCTTGACTACACATAATTTCAGTCGTCACTTTTGTATGTTCAGTATGCTTTGATGGAACAAGAATCATAAGAATAAAACTCAACCCTGTTAAAAGGCAGCAGAGAAATAGAATCAGTTTGTGTTTCTGTAATTTGTCTGCTAAAGCTCCAAATAATGGTCTGACTAAAAACCCAACAAATGGCATAAGACCATAAATTATTCCTGTCTGTGATTTTGTCATACCAATCTGCTTCATATACAGTGCCATAAACGGTAGTAGACCACCAATCGCTACAAAATGAAATAACAGGATTATGTGTATACATAAAAAAAGATAAAAATTATATGTAAAACTGTTGAATTAATATAACAATGTTGTGGAGGATTCCATTGAACCCTGTTTCTATCCTGTGATTGCTCCTGTCAGTGTAAAAGTGTAGTGTTTGACACCAAAAAATAAGTCCATTTATCAGTGAAATATGGAAACTTAAAAAAAAGTTAGATAAAACTCTTTTCTTTAGATCCTATTTTTTCATCATGAAGAGGCTTCTTTCCAGGTTTTAAATTGTTACATTCGAATTCCATGACAGTTTAAGAAAGATATTTATGTCTAAAAAATTTAACCCAAACTTGTATATGTTGTATGTAAATGTTAACTGCAAAATACTTTAAGTCATATATTAGTAAAATACTGAACAAGAGTGCACACACTGAAATGTCTCGCCTTCTTTATTAACCATTGATATTATGTTGATAGTCCTAAATGAAAGCTTTACTACAACTATTACATAAACTTAACATGATCCAAGAAAATGAAGTCAAGGTCATATAAACCAAATGAGAAATGCATGTACACCTTACAATCATTCAATACACTAAATATAGTTGACCTATTGCTTATAGTTTCTAAGAAACAGACTTAACCAAGAAAACTAAACATTGACCAATGAATCGTGAAAATGAGGTCAAGGTCAGATGAACCATGCCAGGCAGACATGAACAGCTTACAATCCTTCCATACAACAAATATAGCTGACCTATTGCTTATAGTTTAAGAAAAACAGACTGAAACACTTAAACTTAACACTGAGCAATGAACCGTGAAAATGAGGTCAAGGTCAAATAAAACCTGCAAGACTGACATGTACATCATAGAATATTTCCATACACCAAATATAGTTGATTTAATGCATATAGTATAAGAAAAAAGACCTAAACTCAAAAACTTAACTTTGACCACTGAACCATGAAAATGAGGTCAAAGTCAGATGATACCTGCCAGTTGGACATGTACACCTTACAATCATTCCATACACCAAATATAGTAGACCTATTGCATAAAGTATAAGAAAAAGGACCAAAACACAAAAACTTAACTATAACCACTGAACCATGAAAATGAGGTCAAGGTCAGATGACAACTGCCAGTTGGACATGTACACCTTACAATCCTTCCATACACCAAATATACTAGACCTATTGCTTATAGTATCTGAGATATGGACTTGACCACCAAAACTTAACCTTGTTCACTGATCCATGAAATGAGGTCGAGGTCAAGTGAAAACTGTCTGACAGGCATGAGGACCTTGATAGGTATGCACATACCAAATATAGTTATCCTATTACTCATAATAAGAGAGAAATTAACATTACAAAAAATCACAACTGTTTTTTCAAGTAGTCACTGAACCATGAAAATGAGGTCAAGGACAATGGACATGTGACAGACAGAAACTTCATAACATAAGGCATCAATATACAAAGTATGAAGCATCCAGGTCTGCCACCTTCTAAAATATAAAGCTTTTCAGAAGTTAGCCAAAAGCAGCTGCCGCCGGATCACTATCCCTATGTTGAGCTTTCTGCGACAAAAGTTGCAGGCTCGACAAAAATGAATCAAAATATTTTCATTATTTTGCAGCCGCCATTATTTCTTAATCTAAAATTAATCTAAATTATTGTTGCTTTCAAAAAACCTTTTACTGGAGACTGAATCTAAATAACTACGTCCTTATCAATAAAACAAGGAAAAATTAGATTATAAAAAAGATTGCTCTAGATAATGTCTTTAGACTATAATAAAATGCTCCGCTGGGCGCAGCTTGATACGATCGCAGATGTCGAACCCTGAACAGTTGGGGCAAGTATGGACACAACATTCAAGCTTGTTACAGCTCTGAATTTGGATTGTGATTAAATATTTGATACAGCATAGGTTTCTGACACAGAATGAATGTGGTCTAAGAACTTAAAATTTTTTAATTTACCTATTATGGTCCAATATCCAAAATCTAAATACATACACGGTTAGATTCAGCATATCAAAGAACCCCAAGAATTCAAGTTTTGTTAAAATCAAACTTAGTTTAATTTTGGACCCTTTGAACCTTAATGTAGACCAATTTGAAAACAGGACCAAAAATTAAGAATCTAAATGCACGGTTAGATTCAGCATATCAAAGAACCCCAATATTTCAATTTTTGATGAAATCAAACCATATCATTATTATTTGCTTTTATAAATAAATCAAAAATAACCAACTTAAAATGGAAAATTTTAAAGAAAAAAAAAAGGAAAAAAATTTAAAAAAAATCCCCTCCCCAATTTTTTGAACCCCCTTATGATTCATCACCCCCAAACTCAATCCCAGCCTTCCCTTTGTGGTATGGTACCTTGTAGTACAATTTCAGAGAGATTCATACACTTGAACACAAGTTATTGTCTGGAAACTGTAAAAATGCTTGTTTTTTTGGCCCCAAACTCCTAAAAGTTTAGGACAATTACCCCCAAACTCAAACCCAGCTTTTCCTTTGTGATATGGAACCTTGTAGTATAATTTTATAAAGATCCATAAACTTACACACAAGTTATTGTCCTGAAACTAGAAAAATGCTTGTTTTTTGCCCCTTTTTGGCCCTTAATTCCTAACATTTTGAGGCAATTACCCCCAAAATCAATCCCAGCCTTCCCTTTGTGGTATGGTACCTTGCAGTACAATTTCAGAGAGATCCATACACTTGAACACAAGTTATTGTCTTGAAACTAGAAAAATGCTTATTTTTGGCCCCTTATTCCTAAACGTTTAGGGCAATTACCCCAAAACTCAATTCCAGCTTTTCCTTTGTGATATGGAGCCTTGTAGTACAATTTGAGAAAGATCCATAAACTTACACAAAAGTTATTGTCATGAAACTCGAAAAATGCTTGTTTTTTGCCCTTTTTTTGGCCCCTAATTCCTAAAATTTGAGGCAATTACCCCCAAAATTCATCCCAGCATTCTCTTTGTGATATAGAACCTTGTGGTACAATGTCAGAGAGATCCATACACTAACACACAAGTTATTGTCTGGAAGTTACAAAAATGCTTATTTTTGGCCCCTTTTGGGCCCCTAATTCCTTAACTGTTGGTACCACAACCCCCAAAATCAATCCAAACCTTCCTTTTGTGGTATTGAACCTTATGGTAAAATTTCATAGAGATCCATTAACTTAAGTTAAAGTTATTGTGCGAAAACCAATGTGTCTTCGGACGACGATGACAACGACGCCAATGTCATACCAATATACGACCGCAAAAATTTGTGACAAAAGTCGACAAAAAGCTTCTGTTGAAATTAAACAAAATTTCATGAAGGTTTGACAAAGTAATTTATGTTTATAAAAACTTTAACCAAAGACTGAACCTAAATGTTGACGTTGCATATGACAACTACTAAATGTAGGATCATTTTGTCTCCCTTCCGTGCCATAATGTTGCAGGCTCAACAAAAATAGACATATGTTTTACAAGTCATTGTTTTTAATATAATTTGAGCTGCTTCAGATAGAAATCAACCTTATGCAAGTGCATGAATACATGAACAGGTGTAAGACTATGATTGATTTTCAAACATTCAAATAAAAACTAAAGATGAATTTTGGTCTGTTTTGTAGGGTTCTTATAGCAACTCAATTTTCGAACAGTTACAAACTTTGCATAGATATTTTTTCAACCCGAAAAATGGTTAACAGATACATTGATATTCATTTGCATAAGGTCAATTTCTATCCGATGAAATCATTTATTGTAATACATGTAATAATAGCCATTAAATCTTCATTTGAAATTTTAGCTCTAAGTAAGTACCAATTAGGGCCTTTTCAAACCTACTCCACACTTTACAGAATTTTGAGATTAAAGAATGTCTCGAGACTCTTTTCCTGAGGTGGAGTAAAATTGGTTTGGATTTTTGAAACAATAACTAAAGTATCATTGACAAATAGAGTGGGACTAAACTGACCTTAAACAGATTTGTTACAGATTATGTACATGAAAAACATAAAATATTTTCAACAAAAAATCAAAACGAGGAAAACACTGCTTGGCAAAGGTATGATTAAAAAAGCAATACATTGTAGTAGAAAAATCATAAATACATTTTAAAATTATTTAACCAGTAAATTAAAATATACCATGGCTTTTAAGAACAACAACAACAACACTACTTTATTTAAAGAGGGTTACACAGTTAGCTATATAACTAATCTTCCCTGAGGCCCTAAGAGAAAGAAGTAAGTTCAATTAACTGCCATATTTGGCCCCCTGTATCAAGTCCATTGTTTCAAGACAAAAAATATTTCAAGTAAACGAGTAAACATGTAAAAAAGAGGAATAGAACTTTTTTGGTCCAGCTTTTCTTAATAAACAGCTGCCCAAAGAGTGCATGATACACCCTTATTGTGCATATTGAAATTGTTGCAAGAATAAAAGGGGATATTTTGAAGGCATTTAGTCATATGTTAACCAATTCCAACAATCAAATCACTAAATCAATAAAGCAAACTCAAGTTATGGTATATAATGTGAAAAATGTACTAAAATCTGAAAATTAAAAGTCCCATAACTCAAGAGCTACAAACTGGAAAATTTTAAAAATCAAAAGAGAGCTAGCTGCCTTACACCAATCCCCACAATAAAGTAAAGTTTAGAGGAAATCAATCCAGGAATACTGGAGTAATTGTTTGATTTAAGAAAATTGCCTTAAATGTAACAATTAAACAAACCAGGAAAATTAAAAGATAAATGGAAAATGCGCCTTTTGGCCACAGATGCCCAGGCTTGTAAATATGCATGAGTCAACTTCCACATACAGATGCAGCATTCACATTGTTATACCCGTTTTGTGATTATAAGCATTGTGTATATTGTTTCATAACATTTGGTTGCGGTAAACTTAAGTTAGAGAACAGAAACGACAGATTTAGCAATTTTTCCATTTATAAAGGGGCATAAATCAAGAACAGTAAA